TTTTTTTTTTTTAACATATAATGTATTATTTGTTTCAGAGGTACAGGTCTGCGATTCATCAGTCTTACACAATTCACAGTGCTCACCATAGCACATACCCTCCCCAATGTACTTTAGGTCTCATTTTAAAACAAATCACTAAATAAAAAAATAAGATTCAAAGCCTTCCTTGAAGTCATAGTACAGTATTGTTCACTGGCACAGGGAAAATGGGACCACTCAGGGGACATGGCCTACGACATCTACTGGGGACAAAAGGTGAGAAAAAATTTGGAAAGTTCTGCAACTTTATATAAGGATATCAGGATATCCTTATAAATAGTTAGTCTATCCACATGAAATATATAGATTAAACCCACAGAGCACAAAATGCTTCCTATTTTAATCAGGGCCCAGATGCACAATAAATGAAGGCCAAAAGGTCATCCTCTCCCCAAATATGATGGGCTTCAACGAAATTTCCTACTCCAATAAAATTACCTCTTGTAAACATCCCTCCATACTTAACTTCCAAAGTGTCTCATTCTCTCTCTACAACAACCACTAGCACACTGTTTCTGAATAGAATTCCAGGATGCTTATAAAAATTTGCAATGATGGTATTTTACCCTATTTAAGAATGAATGAATAAATAGGTCTTTCAAATAGGTCCACATTTCTTTTTCTCCTCTCCTCAAGGTCAAACATTTACACAAACCCTAGAGAAATCCTCTGTAGCAATCAGGGAGCAGCAACTAAACTCTATCCGCAACCTAAGTAGCCCTCCACCTCATAAATACTGAGTATGAAGAGAGTTGCCACACCTTGATGTATATCTAAGAGCTTACCCAGCCCCCACGTTTGAAGAGTCAAATTTTACCTGAATTCCAACAGACTACAAGAGGAAAAGAAGACCAAGAAATGAGTTCAAGGAAACTTCTAACACTGTAGTTTGAAGACAGTCATTGAACAACTGGGTGATCTTCTGTTTATTTACTCACAGACGCAGTGCTGTTTTCTGATCTTAGTAAAATTGTAAATTCGTAAGATTTCAGCCTACATTTAAAGATAGAAAGCAACTTGAGGATGATCATGTATCTACCTGACTGGTTTTACAAACGAGAAAACTGAATGGCTAGAAACTGGCAAAGGAGAATCCACACTGTCTGATATTTGGTTCAACACTCTCTTTCCTTATTAGCAACAGATATTTACTCATATTCAACAGATATATTTATTGAATGTTAACCACGTGCAAGACACCCGAGGATTACAAAGCTGAATTTTAGAGGAGTATCCGAAAGTAACTCTCTTTATAGCTCTAATTCTTAATTTCGAACTAAATCTTTCCTTCCTCCTTGTAGCCCTTCCAAATACAGAAGGTGATGTCATGGTGAGAACGTCGGTAAAGAAATGATGATGATGATGATGACAAAGACAATGACAATACCAACTGAGACATTTACTATGTGCCCATCACTACCTGTTACCTTTACATACATAGCCTATTTAATCTTCAGAACAATCTTAGGAGGGAGATAAGTATCTCTAATTGATAAAAGGTTTGGAAAAAGTAAGTCAATTGCCCCTGAAAGGGTAGTCAAGTTCAGGTTTACACCCGGGCATGACTTTACTACAACTGTCTCCTAGGTGCCTGACCCTGGCACTTCCCATAATTAACTGGAAATTCCCTGGCCCCTCTGGACCTCAATTTCTTCATCAGTGAAATGATGAAGTTGGTCACGTGATTTCCAACATCTCTTCCAGGTGTACCATTCTGCAATTTTCTAAGTTGAGGTTTTTAACCAATCTCTTGTGGTGCAGAGGAAGGAAAACACCTTGTAAAAGCTAAGGATAATTTTGCCCCAAATGACAAAATCCAGACCTTTGTGCAGAGGTTTCCTGGTAAAGGAGGGTGGGTTGTTACTGGCTTGATATATCCTTAACTTTCATCTAGGTTCCAGCCTCAGATTTTTTTGAAAGCTAATCTCACAGCCACATGACAAAATAACATACAATCATTAACAATGGCATTTAAACTAAACAGGAGGTTTTTCAAATCCCTAATAATGATTAGGAGTCCTCTGTAAAAACATGGGAAAATACCACATTATTGCTTTTATAAGAAAAAAAGCAGGATGCAATATATGGCTTTTTTTGTTTGTTTGTTTCTGAACAAGGAGAAAGAAGCAAGTACATTCAACAGTGGTTGTAGTTAGATAGTAGGATTTTTCTTTCTTTTTCCTTATTTTTCTTTTTTATGTAAGCTTAAATTACCTCCATAATTAGAGGGGAGACTTTTCTTTACAAAGAGAGAAAAGGTGTCCAATATTCTCACATTGATTTCTTCTGAGAAGAAAATACTCTCTTAAAAGCATCTCAGTAACACTGCAGACATTCCAGAAATACAGGTTTAGAGGAGAACATCATTCTTACCCACTACAGATGAGGAAGAAAATAGTCCTCTATTGCTTCAGGTCTAGAATAACTAAGATTTACAGGATGTTTCAGGACTCCTGGTAGGGGAAGTTGCTTTGGAGTCCAGGGACACGTAGCTCCATAGAGCTGGGCGCCAGGAAAAAAAAGAACAGGTGCAAACGACGAAGCAGCAGACCGTGAGAGCCAAACGTCACTGGCCCCATCCAGAAATCCCGATCTGGAGCAGGCTCTCCCTGCGTGGTCCTGCCCCGCACCCCGGCCAACCACATGGTCAAGGGGCCTTTCCCTGAGCACAAATGTCCTCACTTCTCTGAAGCACTACACAGAGGGACGACAGGTAGCATATTTCATGGAATCTGCAACTGAAAAATCACAACCACAACCAAACTAATCTAGGCTCCATTAGGCTGCAGGATAAGCACGTTGTGTGTATACCTCTGTGTTCACATATAAACTCCCAATATATACACACACGTGGCCCAGTTTATAACACAGATCAGTAACCGTGGCTTTGGACGGTGACAATGAAACACTTCACTCTATAGCTCTCCTGAGAATATTTTGTAAACACACTGTGTCTCTCATGATTCCCACTGATACTACACAAAACTCAGGAAAGAATACAATTTAAAAATCACATTCAGAATGCTATTAATTACATAGGAACCCTCGCCTTACTGGAACACTTTTTTTTGCTACTTTGTAGCAAGTAGATAAAGACAGATCTGATATACAAAGAATAGAAAAACAAGAACAGGAAAAGTCAGCTTCTCCTCTGGGAGTCTGACAGATAATATGTGGCGTCAACATCACATCACACCCGGAGTCAGAGGAGGGCTGCAGGGAGCCGCAATGCCCAACTCCCCAACAACTCCAGACTTGCCCTAAGCATCCACCTCACACTGGGCTTCACCAGCTCCGCTACCATTAAGAAAGCAGCAATACAAAGGCCAGCGGGTATCTTTTATGCATTTAAAAAGACATATTTATGTTGATTGCTACCAAAACTCCTTCAAATGATTACTTAAACCTGAAAATAATGTAACTAGAGAGATGACATCTTTTTTTTTAAGGCATTTTTTTCCTAAGTGTGAAGTTGGCACCTATTAACTGTACCTTGCGGTAATTAAATACATCTAACATTAGATAAAGAAATTTAACCTACCTCATCAAAGGTGGTGTCGTCTTTCTTCAAAGCTACAAAATAAAAAGGGAAAGGAAACAGTTATTGTGAAACATCTCAAAGAGACTAAGCATCTAAGTTCTAGAAAACAGAAGGAAAACAAAGCAGTATGGTGTTTTCATTTCAGAAAGTAAAACTGTACCCCAACCTGAATAACAATGTTATGATACAAATAGGAAAGCTGCAAATGAGACAGAGAATTGCACAGCATGCATCTTCGTGGAAACACTTTCATAAATATGTAAATGGACGATCCTCCCAAGTATGGAAAAGAAGCATGCATATCTTTCCCCTATCTCTTCTTTAGTAGAAAAACGTTTTAATGAAAGTACAAAAGCATCAAAAAGTAATCTTAAAGAAATTTCCCCCTCAACTCCTGGGTTTTGAGCATATATCATTGGGCACAGTGTGTGGTCCTCCCAAACCAATTGTCAGGATGACACCCCCTCTGCACAGTGCCCTGAATGAGATTTTCATGCCAAGAGAAGTTTAAATACGGTGAGAAAAGACTAAGCATGTAAAATAAGCATTGCAGAGACATAATTCAAGCATTTCAACATGATCCATTTTATAACAAAGTATCACCAAAGGAAACAATACATTCAGAATATTTTATAGGAGTTAGCAAATACTTAAAATTTATTTAAATATGCAGCTTCAGAACTGGAATTTTATTACTCTAAAGAGAAAGAGAAGTATTTCATGCATTGTTGGCAAACACCCTAGTTCCTTAAATCCTACAATTACTTAGAATGTTTCATATTAGGGAGAATGCACAAAGGAACTAATTTGGCTGAAAGCACTAGTTGGAGAAATGTTTCCAATTTACAGAATTGTGCATAGGTGTTTACTGGTCTATACTAGACAGTTCTAGTCAGGATAGAAGCACTTGTGTCACTCTTAACTTGGAAAGCTATGTTCTGACAAAAGCAATGGAAAGCAAATTATGTTGGCAATTAAGCTCTGAGAGAAGTCATGTGCTTAAACTGAAGTTATCATTTCAGAGCCTATACTATACAGTCTAGCAATCTTGAAAAGGATATTTTCTGTTTCTACTATAGATGAGGTTGTGGAGAGTTAAGGTGGATGAGAGCAGATTGAGGGAGATAAAATGTTTTTGAAAGTTTAATTCTTAGTTTTCCTCTTTTTTGCCTAAGAAACTGATCTGTAATAAATTTCTCTACTTGTTTTATTAGAAGACAACTTCTTCTGAATGAAAAATTAAGACAGCCCTTTCTCCTAATCTGAAATGGCTTATCTTGCATTCAATTACTTACACACATTTTATTATGTATTTGCTTTAACTTACATTAAATCCAAAATAAGCTATTTCGATAGAAAGCTATCAAGAAAGCTAAGAGCCTAGATGATCTTTAATTGCTATATTTTAACTTAGAATGTAAAACTTCTAATCTGGAAGACTTTCTTTAAATATCAACCAACCATGTTCCTAAACTACAACCCTCACTTCGCTCAAACCTAAGGCATGTCCTCTAATCAACATACTTGAGTAGTAATTCCTAGATAAAATATTAATGACCTACATAAATATAGGCAAGTTGTTCCATCTAAAAAAAAAAGTGGTTTTTTTGGAATAAGAAATGATTAGCTCAGTGATTCCAAATACAAAGTCAATCACTGTACAGCCTCATACCTAGCTCATTTAACAAAGATGAATGAAAAATTATGTGGCTGTCATGCAAGATGCAAAGCTAAAGCACCAAACTTATAATTCACAGCACAAACTTCCTATACTTTATATACTTTGGACATGATAAAGTTCCAAAATTTAGCCATGGGTTGTCTTAAGTAAAGCATCAAACAGGAACTGCAGCTGAACTATCCTTCGGGTAACTGCAAACAGAATGAAGACCCTCAAGCTGAGAGAAAGCAAAAAACTAAAATGTCTTTGACATCCGGACGGGGCTCTTTCTTTCTTGCCTCCTGGATAAAGAGATGGGTCTGAGGGCAAAAGAGAAGGAAGAAATAGAAGAGGAACTGCAGGTGTGTTTTCTAAAATATAAGGAGCAGGAAGCTAGATTCTCTCCCCCGCATTCTATTCTCCAGCCCAAGATACCACAGGGGAGAACATTTTAAGACCCCAAAAAAGCTATGGCTTCATTGAAACCCTTTATTGGCAGACTGACACCTTATACAGTTTCTTATAAATATTGAATCCTTGCCCTGAACAGCAGTTAACAGTGACAACAAAGGCCAATTAAAGATGTCTCTGCCAAATATTTATCAGGTCATTGATGAATAAACCCTGACCTAAACAAGCACACAACATCTCATTACTGATTACATTCCCTGATTGTCATTAATCATTCATGTAAATGTAAACTCACAATTGTCTTCGAAGATATCTTGGAATAGCGAGCATATTACATTTTTATGGGTTAACAAGGTAGTATATATTAAATCATTTAAGATATTCAGATATCCTATTTAGTCCTCTACTCAGACACTGCTTCCTCTAGAAAGCTCTCCATGATCCCACCAAGACTAAAGTGGTGTCCTTCCTATATTCTCCAACAGCAAATTATGTTAATCTTCCTGGTAAAATTTGTCACTGTATATTGTCAATGCCCATTCACTGGCCTGTATCCTCTTAAAGTCCTTGAGGACCGGTAACAGTGGCCGCTGAATCTCAGTGTCAGCACAGGATCTAGCACATATGAGGTACTCAATAATTATTTGTTGAATTAATGAGTTCTACCTCAATGGCAAAACAATAGTCTCTTACATTTTGAGACACACTAAAAGTTTTGGTATATGAAAACCACATACTATTTTCTCTTATGAAAGGATCATAGATATAAATTCCATTTCACAGTTCGCAAATTAAAATCTTCTGAAACTACATGGGGAGAGAACATGGTACTATATTTAAATTCTGTGCCTGAACCTTTACCCTTAAGAATGGACTTATCACATGACAGCTGGACCCCACATTACATACTTAGAGCACAAAGTAACAAACCCCAAAATTCAATGTAACCATAGCCTCTTCCTTCTGTTCAGTTCTCTCACAAACTACATCTTTTAAAGAAATGGTATACATGGGGTTCATCTCCAATATCACAGAGTATAAACTTCCTTTCTCTACAAGTTAATCCAAATAAGCGTGAAGAAATGCATTCAAATGAATATGAAGAAATGCCAGTTTGACCTTAATCTTACGCCAGATATTACAGAAAGCCTTCCTCCTCCTAGGCAATCATTTAAAAATTGAAAGAAGGAAAGAAAAGAGGAAAAGGATTTTAATATAACCTTTTTAACAACTAAGTTCCCACTTGTCATTTTTTATGCTAACCAAAAACAACAAAACATAAGACAACTACAGTAGTTCCTAAATAAGTGAACACACTGACACTATTTAGCAGAAAACGATACTCACCACTGAAATCAGTGAATGCCTTTGAAATTCAATTACACCCATCTTATAAAAGAACTGTAACTGTGTTATAGTCACTCTTTGGCAGATGTCATAAATTAGAGTGCTATGGTTTGAAAGCAAGTGTGTTTTATTAGACCTTATATAATATAGTAATTTCAGATCAGCTGTATTTGGGATGGGTAGTGACAAAGTTGACATGATCACTCATGTGTGAATAAATTAAACATTAGCATTACCACTTTTATAGAGTCAAAACCGTTAATAATAAACATTGACTATCACATACTTTCAAACGTCTTCATTTTCTATCAATGATTAATTTCTCATGGCTAAACAACGATACTGTATATTTTGCCATAGAGCAAGCTACACTTTTGAATCACCCTAAAAAAGCAAAATTAACTCAGTATGTTTATTTCAAAAGCCATCGTAGATTGTTTAAAGGAATGAAAATGCTGAGATGTTGGATTATTCAACAAGAATAAACCATTCGCTCTTTGATCTCCTCATGAAGTACCAATGAAGACAGGAGGAAGATGGGGGATAAACAGAGAAATGGGAAGGAAGAATATCAGCCCCCAGTACTGTTCTTCACATGTAACAGATACTGCACTAGATATTTTATGTATCCTACCTGATTTAACCTTCACAACAACCTTGAGAAAATTTATACATGTGGACTCTGGGGTTTAGGGATATTCTGCTAGTTGCCCAAGGCACACAGCAAGCTGGGAAAACAGGGTTCAAACCCAGACCAGACTAACTCCAAAACCCATCCTGTTTTTATACTGTAAAGTCAGTAGCCCCTTCTTCCCCTCACTTCTCTTGCTTCCCACCTAGAAGATCAATTATGTCTATATGATGTAATCACCAATAATGATAATAACATATTATGAATCTTTATTGAGTCTGCACTATGTACCATACAGGACATCATATGCGTTATTTCACTACGTGCCAATAACAAAACTGAGTTGTACATGAAAAACCGAAGCTCAGAAGTGGAGGGACCTGTCCAAGGTCACATAGCTACAAGTGGCAAGATGGGAAATCCCAGTGGTCTGACACACACAGCCCACACCCTGAAGCTATGCACTATATAATTCCATAGTACAAACTCCATTCAATAGCCTCAAGCACCTTAAAATCTTTACATAATCAAATTGATTTTATTGCTTTGTAATTTTGCAAATAAAACATTAAGAAAATACAGATAACAAAGATCATTTTTTCTGTAATCCCATTTCCAATGCATGTGTTGGGTTTGCTTTACAAGCACAACCACGTAAAATCTCTTTATCTCCTTTTACAGTATTCCAGAATGAGAGTTACTATTCAGAATCATGACCCTCCATCAATACAAGAAATAATCAGTTATGTTCACTGCACTGTACTGTTTCTGAAAGGGAGGAATTAAAATCTACTATATCTTAGAAGATATTTTAAGAAGTGTTGGAATCAAAAGGAGTTTCACATCACTAACTCTCAGTAAGCTAGAAAATCCAATTAACTGTAATTCCCCATTTGCCAGCATTGTAGTTAATCCAAATTTTACTGATTGGCGATCAAAATCTTGAAATTGCTTAAACATAAGGAATTTTTGTATTAATGTCCTTGGTTTCTTACTGAGATTCAACTGCAATGAATTATTTAACACAAAACTGGAAGGGCTCCAACAGAGTCATTAGCATTAGTAAATATACAGTTAATGTATTTTAGAACAGGGCTTAATGGACTCCAGAACCCGCCTCTGTGATGGTTTTGAGTCCAGGGCAGAACATTCTCCTTAAAAATGCACACCAACTCAACACCTTGCTCTCTCACATTCTTCTTGGCTTCAATCTTCATTTGCATGTAGGAACTCTTCATATGCATCCCTAAGTAAAAGTGAAACTGCAAATATCCGATACATGTAATAAGTAAAACCAGGATTAAATATTGGTTTCACACCATAATTTTACAGTCATTTTGGGAGAGATTTTGTATACCAATAGGAAATTTTAAGATAAAGACAACAAAGAAAACTAGGCTAAATTTTGATCCATATTTTCTCTTGCTTGAACAAAGTTTGCATATTTTAGAGTGCACTTATAAAATGATTTTTAAAGGAAGGGATGGAAGGATGACTACAATACTCATATGCACCCCAGGGGTTTATTTTAAGGAATTAAGTACCTTATGCTTAATTTCCATTAACACGTTCATTAACATGGATGACATGTTAAACAAGTGAAACAAAGGCTAGAAGGCTTCTTAGGGAATCTGAGCGGTTATTTTTAGTGTTTGTATGATTCTCTTGCTGAAAACAGTTACCTACATAAATGAAAGTTATAATGTTAGAGGAAGCATCTACCGTCTTAAGGTTAAAAGGGGCTTTCTATGGCCAACCCTAAAAAGCTAACAAACCCATTCCACACAATACTGTTGTCACCCTGTTATAGTCTGTGACATGGATTTATTCTTAAACGTCCTAAACATTTCTCAGTTTTTATTTGTACATCAGTTGGTTGGTTGGCTGGTTTAAAGACAATAGTTCCGGAGCTCTAGTAAATGTGAGAAGTTCGGGAGACTCATTCGTAAACGTTCAGAGAAGTTCACAGCGCGCATTTATTTGCCGCAATGGAAAGATTCAGAGAGCTCGGGACGGAACAGCCAAATCTCGCTTTCGAGGACCCGAAGTACCGAACAAAAGGTCCCAAGGTATCTGTCCTACTTCCCTTTAGGCTGGATGTCTTAAACAATACCAAGGCACAACTCAACGTCTCACCAATTTCCAAAGCTAAATTATTTACTAAACACCCCAGAGCAAAGCCTGCGCGCAATAAATAAATAGATAGATAGATAGATAGATAGATAGATAGATAAATAAATAAATAAAACAAGTGACCCAGGCGGCCGTGCAGCCGGTTGCGCAGCGGGGCCCGGGGCGCCCCATCGCCTGTCCACCGCGGGCGCGAAAGCCCGAGCGCTAGTGGCGAGGAGACGGAACCCAAACTGTAGGCTCAAGATCATCCACAAACGAACCCCCAGATCCTGAGAGAGAGGGGTGTCTCTCCTTTCCATTGTCGCCCTCCCCCCAGGTCCGGGCACTGTTCGGTCCACCGTCCGCTCGCAGCGCACCCCACGCCAGCCCCGGGTGGCCGCTGCCTTGGTGGTGCCAGAAGCGCGGGGAGGAGGAGCAGACGACGGGGGCGACCGGCCGTGTGCCCGGGGCAGCGCGCCACTCACCAATGCGGCTGAAACTCTCCGACAAAGTTCTCCGCAACTTCTTCATCTTGCCGATCTTCTCGGCCGGCTGCGGCTCAATGAGGTCGCACATCTGGGCGACACGGGGCTCCGGCAACTTCCCCAAACTGGTCCAGAGCGGAGCGCAGACAACGGCGAGGGCGCGCGGCGAGGAGAAGGCGGCGCCTCCTCCTCCTCCTCCTCCACCTCCTCCTCCTCCGGCCAGAAGGCGACGCGCTGGGCTCGGGAGGCAAGTGGCTAGCTGTAGGCTCCGCTCGGGCCTGGGCCGCGGCTGGGCGGGGGCGTTCTACGTGGTGCCGGGGGCGGCAGCCATCGCCGCCGCCGCCGCGGTAGCCCCGCGCCGCGCCGCCGCCCGGCTCATTTTCCCTCCTTTGTAACCGAGAGCGGCGCGGCGGGCGGCCGGCAGTGGGGGCGGCGCGGCCGGAGGCGGGGCGGGGGCGGGCTGGGAACAAGGTGCGGGAGCCGGGGGTCGCCGAGTGCACGGGGCACAGGCGGGGAGAAGTTCTCAGCCCCGAGTTTCGGGCATTCGGGAGAAAGGAGCCGCAGAGCGGAACCGCCACCCGCCCCGCCCTCACCGCCCCTCCCGCCGCCTCCGCCCCGCCTTCCCTGGGCAAAGGACCCCGAGCGCGGGACCCCAGCGGGACCTCGGCTCCCGAGCTCCGAGCCCGCGTCCTCCTCGGGCCTCTCAGCCCGGCTCGCGCCCCCGCGGCGCCCCCTCCCGGCCGCCCCCGCGCGCCTCTCCCTGCCCGGCCCGCCCCGCCCCGGCCGCGCGCTCCAGGACCCGGCCGGCGCGGGGCCTCTAACAGGCGGGGCTGGGAACGGGCAGCGACGGGGACTCTGTCTCACGCTGTGGGGAGGCCACCCAAAGGGAAGGCTCTGGATCTCGGTCATTTATCTGAGTGGTTTTCTCTTTGCCACGAACGCGTGTGAAAAGAGTGAGGAGTTGGGGGGAGGGGGTGGCCGCCACCACTACCTCTGAGTCCGGAGAATGGAAAGGCCTGGGGGACCGCTCGGGTTTGACGGTGACGTTTTTCCCCCCCAGTTTTGCCAGAAAGACTGTGAAGTGAAAGATCCAAAGGGAAAGGTGGGCCCGTTTTTTAGGGGAGTCGAGTGCAGAGGTAGAAGCGTCAACTGTAACCCCCCAAGGCCGGGCTAGTGCTGTTTCCTTCACCGCTGTGTCACTCTGAGTGACTGATGGGAATGTAGACGTAGCTAATTGCTGATAGGAACACCCAGTTCCATAATAAATAGCAAACAGAAGTCCTTCGTCTCTACCAGTTTTAGAATATATTTCCAAACTGGAAGCCTTGGAGGCCAAAAAGATTCTGACGTCCTCTCCCCAGCACCCCCCAAAAAAAATTTAAAAAGGAGGGGGTTGGAGGAGGCTTTATAAAATCCCGGAACGGTTCAGCCAGCAAACACATCGTCTTCATTCTCTTAAAACGTGGTTCAGCGAGCGCTCCAAACGTTAACTCTCCCAGGGGAGAGAGAAGGAAGATGGGGGAGGGCCTGAATGTTGATTTGCGGCCAGCAAACTCCTTATGAATAGAAATTTAGTAATCTTGAGTCATCTGGCTGTGTAATAAGAGCTTGTGAACGTGTGACAATGTTGTTTGGTTTAAAGGAAGTTTTGGGGAGTTTGTGTTTTGTTAAAAGATTTTTATCTTAAAACAAAAACTAGCCCCCTGCCTTCCTTAAATTGTGAGGTAGAACACTTCGATTTGTTCTGCTCTGTAATGAGCACATTATTGGGTCTTTGATAGATTGCTCCTGATAAAAGACAGGAAGTCAAGCCAAGTGGGGAGCCAAGGAGGGTGGGGAATTCATCAAGAAAGTCAGTATGAGTTAAAATGCAAGGATGTTGGGTCCTAGTGACCATATTTAGATATTACAGACAGCACCAAGTATGTCCTCAGACAGGAAAAAGTTTGACTTTTACCACTTCCTCGGGTTAGTTAGGGAGAAAGTTATCAGCAGCTATGAATGAAAAGACAAAAAGCAACCAATCAACATACTGATGGGTTCTATCTACCAGTCAACAAAGATGAAATAGTTACTAATTTAATAAACTTTGTGGAGCGCCTGGGTGGCTCAGTGGTTAAGTGTCTGCTTTCGGCTCAGGTCATGATCCCAGGGTCCTGGGAGCAAGCCCCAGGTCCATCCTGCTCTCTGCTCAGTGCGGAGCCTGCTTCTCCCTCCCCCTCTGCCTGCCTCTTCCCCTGCTTGTGCTCTCTCTCTCCCTGTCAAATAAATAAATAAAATATTTTTTAAAAATTTAAAAATACACTTTGACTACTATATGTCTGTGGCTATCCTAGTCATTCTGACAGTGACTGTATCATATAGGTAAATACACATACAGATATAGATTCTCCATTTCACCTCCCCAGTATTTAATATTTCCAACTTTTTAAAAGGTCAGCTTCTGCCTGAGTAAATCATTGTATATCCTTACAAAGGTACAGTGGGTAAACATTTTTTAAATGAGATAAATCAGTATGTATTGATGGATAAATATATCTAGAGTAAGTGAATAAAAAGCATATTAATCATTAACACATTTGTGGGAGGAAATATACTTATGTTTCTATATGCATAGAAAATTTCTCTTAAAAAAGAACAAAGGGGCGCCTGGGTGGCTCAGGGTTAAGCGTCTGATTCTTAATTTCAGCTCTAGCCATGATCTCAGGGTCATGGGATAGAGCCTTGCATAGGGCTCTGCACTCAGCACAAAATCCCATTGAGACTCTCTCTCTCCCTCTCCTTCTGCCCCTTCTCCCACTTGTGCAAAGCTCTCTCTCTCTCTCTCAAATAAATAAATAAAAATTTAAAAAGAACAAAGAACTGTTAAGTGTGCATACCCAGAATAGAATGTTCCCTTTGCCCTTTATACCTTTAAGTATAATTTGAATGTTTTACCCAAAGAACACATTACTTATAAATACTAATAAAAATACTAATTTAAAACATAAAAATAATATTTACTTCATTTTTATCTACCCCACTCCAAAACTTCAGCTTTCCCACCTCCAACAAGCTTCACCTAATCACAATAGTATACCTAACAGGAGAGACAGTAATAAACCTTGTCAAATATGAATAACCAACTTTCCATTATATGCTTAACAACTTCCTTTGTTGGTTATATATTAAAATGGTTAGTTTTGCAAGAAACCGTGACACAAAGAAGGAAATTTTTAACTGGATGCTTTTAAAATGTGAACACTTAGAGGATTCAACTCTTGACACAGTTATTTGTTTCACGTATGTCTTCATCCTAGATTGTAAGTTCACTGAGGGCAGGGACCTTAGATACCGAAAGCATGATGTCTATTTCATAGTGGATATAAATTAAATGTCAAATGAATGTGGAATATATTGCTGCCACTGAGAAGTGATGTGTTGTCCTCAGAAACAAAGATGACTATCCAGCATCTGTGTGGCATATGTATTTTCAGTGGGAGGATGGATCTGTGCCAGTTTTCTCTCCGAACTTCAGGTTCACAAGGTTATCGTTTTGGCTGGCCTGAATTAAAGGTGCAGAATCTGAATACAAACAGATAAGCTTACCTAGAGGCTGAACCCAGCATGGGTTGACCTTAATCAAACTTACCATTTAAAGCATGCATATGTATTAATGAGACCTTGAGAAGTAGCAACAGTGGCTGGAGATCCAACTCTTTTAAGTGTTGTGTGGCCTTAGATAAGTAAGTGACTTACACACTTTCTTATCTATAAAATGAGGGCCTTGAACTAGATGACCTCTAAGGGCATTCATAGCTGCAAGATTCTGATTTTAAGTTGAATGGTGAAATTTTTCCTCTCCCAGCTTATATACAAGGTAGATATACTAATGAGGAGTGATTAACATGCAAATAAGACAGACGAAGACCATCAACAAAAATTATGTGAAATGGGATACATTATTTCTAGTTCAGTTATACATAAATTATGTTTTTATTATAAATGGATCTTGTCCATATAAGAAAAATAGCAGGCTAATACACTGGCAGTAAATTTTAAGGGAATGAATCCTAATCCAAATAAGATGAAATATAGAGGATTTGATTAGAATCTAGAATCCAGCAAAAGCAGAAACAGATTTACTGATCTGAAACAGTATGAAAAAACACTGTCAGTAAAAAACATCCACGACACAAGGATGCCAAGTACGTGCGGCATAGAGTTAGAAAGTGAAGTTAAAGAGAGAAAATGTATGTTTATTAATGTAAAACTTTAGAATTTAGCCAAAGGGTAAATATTAAGACATACAAGCAGGTTATAATTATTAAAGTGGCAGAAATTTACATAATTAAATATCCTTTTAGAAAATCTAAACAGTCACTCTAGTTAATTATTTTTAGGATCAAATATTATCCTCCTTTTTTGAACACATCCAGCAGGAACTTCTCAGGTTAGGTGACTTACACCAAGTTCCCAGTGAGTCATCAGTGAAACTAGTACATGGAATCTGAAACTCTTCTCACCAACTTTTGTGTTCCAATTGTTGGATAATGTCTGGCCTTAAGGGTTCCTGTTTTTTGTTCTTGTTTTTTTGACATAGAGCAAATTAAAATAAAAAGGGGGAGGAAAATGGAAGTTTACAGAAACCAGGGTATTCACACTCATATAAATGGAGCCCCCCAACTTTCCCTCACCCTGTTCTATCAGCCATCCATTGCCTAGTGACTCCTAATTTCAATCCTTTTCACATTTACAGAATCACTCACTGTTGCCACAAACCTCCAAGCTTGTGCAGAAATAAAACCTGTATTTGTCTGATTGTTTTATAGGTAATTCTATATTTGTTCATCATGTATTCAAGAGACCTAGGGACCTAAGTAATTGATCTACTTGCAAATGGCTATAATAAGAACAGAGAAGCTGCCAAAACATCCAAATGATGTCAAGTATAAATTAGCTCAGAACAGTTTTGAAGAAAATTAACTACCAGGGTCAAAGCATGCATCGAAATACTGGTAAATTGCCCTGCCCTATTAAAACCGTGCTTAAATAAATGTTAATGTTACCTCATTCCTGCCTTCCATTATTATATAATTTGTACAATGGAAGTCTATATAAGAAAATACCAACCACCATTTCTAACGAAGATACAAGTCACTT